TAATTCTGAAAAACTTCTCTCACAGTCCTCATTTTGCTCAAACTTGGCATTCTTCTTGTGAGTCGGGTTAAGGGAGCTGCTAGACTAGAGAATCCTTCGACAAACTTGCGGTAATAACTTGCCATTCCCAGGAAGTTACGGATTTTCTTAACTGATGTCAACTTTTCCCAGCCAAGTACCACTTTAACCTTTTCGGGATTCACTGATACTCCTTCATTCGATATGATATGTCTTAGGAAGGCGGTCTGCTCAAGCCAGAATCCACACTTACTCAACTTTGCATATAGCTTCTTTTTTCTGAGGACCTGCAAAACTTAGGCTAGATGGTGAGCATGCTCTTCTTTGCTTTTTAAGTAGACCAAGATGTCATCGATGAACACGATAACAAATTGATCCAAGAATTCTCTGAAGACCCTGTTCATCAGATCCATAAAGATGGTCGGGGTGTTGGTTAACCCAAATGGCATGACTAGGAACTCATAGTATCTGTACTGGGTTTGAAAGGCCGTTTTGGGAATATCTTCTGTTCTAATTTTCACTTGATGATAACCTGATCGCAGATCTATTTTGGAGAAGACCTACGCATCCTGCAGCTGATCGAAGAGGTCATCAATTCTGGGAAGGGGATATTTGTTCTTCATTGTGACCTTGTTCAATAATTTGTAATTAATACACAGTCTCAACGTTCCATCTCTCTTCATAGCAAAAGTGACTTCGGCACCCCAAGGAGGTACACTGTGTCTAATGAAACCACTGTCTTGCAATTCAGTGATCTGTTTCTTCAGCTCTTCCATCTCAATGCGGCTCATGCGGTAAGGAACAACCGAAATGGGCTGGGTGTCTGGTTATACATCTATAGTGAACTCAACTTTCCTATCCACTGGCAATCCGAGTAATTCGTCCAGAAACACATCTGAAAAGTCTCGGACTATCGTAATCTCTTGGATACAAATTTTCTTCTTAGGCTTGCCTAGTTAGAGAAAATAGTAAGGTTAAAGTACTTAAAAATTAAGAAGACTTGCCATCAAGAAATAAGTACCAAATGATTTTATTAATTTGTAAATGGCTCCTTATTAGGAGGATTAAATACAACCTTCTCGTTAAAGCAATCTATGCTGGCGTGATACGCCGCTAGCCAATCTATCCTTAAAATTACATCAAAATCTCCCGTGTCTAACCCTATTAGGTCTACACTCAGTTTTCTATTTGCTATCTTTATAGCACAATCCCTGTATTTACCCCCTGCAATAGACACAAATAACATTGAATCAAGTTTATCAGGTGATACATTAAGTTTGGATGCAAAAACACGTAAAACAAATGAATGCGATGCACCAGTGTCAAATAAAATATGAGCAATATGGTTACAGATAGTGTACATACTCTGTACCACGTCCGGGTCGGCATCGGCATCCTGCTGTGTGAGGTTGTAAACCCTGCCCTAAATAGGAGGTCTTCATTGATTCTGGTTCCTCGGGCACTCTCTCGCATAGTGCTGAGCACTACCACATATACAACAGGTGTTGTTGAGGCGATAGCATGGTCGGTCCCCGTGGTCCCTGCTGCAGTGCTGCAGATCTTGCCACGTGCTGCCCCTAGAGCCTGAGGGGGAGCCTAGATCGCCGATCTGGGCCTCTTATTTTGTTGGACAGGCGCAGTAGGTGTTGGTCTGCAGGGTGGAGCTGAGGGTTTGTGACTCCCTGCTGACTGAGGAAGGGTGTTGAAACTCCTCTCCACGATCTGCGTCTTTACCAAAACGGCTGAATATGTCTTGAGCTCTAGTACCAATAAGTGCTGCTTGATCTCTGGACGGAGGCCCCACTGGAACCTCATAGTCTTCTTGCCCTCATCTATCAATGTCTCAGGGGAGTATCGGCCTAGCTCTAGGAACTTACGAGCATATTCCGATACCGTCATATTTCCCTAGACCAGCTGGACAAACTCCATCTCCTTCAGATGTCGGATGTGCTCGGGGAGGTACTCCACATGAAAGACTGCTAAGAACTGTTCCCAAGTGACTGGTGTAGGCAGGATGGTTTGCTTGAGCTCCCACCAATGACCTACTTCCCCCACCAGCATGTAGGAAGCAAGGGTAACCCTCTGCTCGGGAACCACTCCTAAGGTCTTGAAAGCCTTTTCTGTCTTCGCCAACCAGTACTGAGCATCTTCGAAAGAGGACTCCCCTGCAAAAGTGGAAGGGTCCAGTCTTCTGTACCTCTCTACGTAGCCCGAGTCAATCAGGGAAGGAATTAGGTCCCGTGGAAGAGGGACTGGTTCGGGCTGAGGGTAGACTAGGGGGCCCTGTGGTGGCACCTACTGATATAATGGGGGCACTAGATTGTACTGTGGCGGTGCCGGGCAGTACTGTGGCTGGGGCACCAGATTATACTGCAGCGGTAGCGCCAGGGGGTACTGTGGAGGAGGAGGCTCATGCCGGGGTGGCTCGGGATTCGCTCGCTATAGCGGTGGCTCAACCTGTGGTAGTAGAGGAGGGTCAGGTAACTCCCTTCTCTCCTCTCGGCCTTGCTGGGCAGCAATGATCCTTTCTAGCATCTCAAATATTCTGTCCACATCTTCTCGAAACGAATCATCTCGGGTTACTCAGTTTAGTGGAGATCTTCCTCTCCTCATCTCTCTGCACCTGCATTTCACAAGAAAGGGTTGAGTAACGATTAATCGGTTGGTATTTGTCTAAATATTATTGTGTAAGGGACGAGTCCGAGGAACGCGGCTCTGATACCAACTGTAACGGCCCCGGAAATTAAAAGGAAATGCCATATATAAAATTCTAAGTGCGGAAATTAAATAAAATATTATGATTAACATCCCTTACATAATAACCAAAATGTATTAAACGTATGAAAGAATAAGCTAACTAAAGTGAATACTAGAAATGAATACTATAAGGAAAAATATAAAATCTTTAGGCATCTATTCGCCGTCTTCTTGCGGAACGGGTTCGGGAACTAAGTCTTCCTGATATGAAATTGTTAAGTAAGGAATGAGCTACACTAGCCCAGTAAAGAATGTCACACTATCTCACTGTCACAGAAGTAAAGATTGGTAAAAAAAAAAAAGACTAATGGAGTATAATTTATAATAAATTCATTTATCAATAATAAAACCCTTTACTGTCCACTTACCTCGGTGAGATTCATGAAAACAACTTATGGAAATAATAACATTATAATATCATGAAATCATATGCACTTTGTAACATAACACATGTCATATATTTTAATATTTTAATATTTCAATCATCAAGTAACAAATTTCCTCTTTCACCAGCCTACCAGTATCCATGAGGATCTATAGTGGTTCCTGCCACACGTGAACCATTCATTTTAACAACTTAATTCCAGGGCCATCCCCATACCCCGTCCGGTATGGGCGTCAAAATAATAAAACTCAATACCCCGTCCGGTATGAGAGACAACATTCTCGGTAGGGTCTCCTATGGATCCGGTCCGTCCACCATCTCCCAGGATGTCTAGTGAGGCTGTTAACCTATCCATTTATCAACTCAATCCCATTTTTATTTGTTGTTAGTCTCAATTACCCAATCAAACATGAATACGTAAACCAATAACGAATACCAAACCAGACAAACATAACATCGGGTTCACAATAATCAAACCATAATAAATTAAATAGTGAATCATGCATACGAAGCCACAAAATAAAGAAATTAGATACTACACTGCATTTAGACATTAAAATAAATCAAAATTATAATAATTTCAATAATAATAATAAAAATTAATATTAGGGTGTTACAGAACATGTATAAATATTTTGCGTTCAGTCTAAAATTTAATGCAAATTCAAAAAGAAAATATTACAGTGAAGTTAGACATTGTCATTTAGAACCCCACAAACTCCGTTAAGGTGAGTCAAATGTGCAAACATGAAAGATGGTTAAGAAAAGCTTGAAGTGTGAGTTTGAAACCATGGGAAATCATACTATAAACCAAAAAGGGGTATTGGAAGCCAATAATGCACAAAAGAAAAAGCACTATAAAATCAAAGAGCAAGATATTGTTAAAAAAAGAAAAAAAGAAAAAGAAAATCAAACTGAGTAAGAGTAAGAGAAATAAACAATCTAAGTAACTTAATACAAAAATAAATTAACTCAAAAGATAAAGAGAATGAAGACGGACCAATCCTCCCCTGTCCTTAATTTCTCAATTTTCACAATACTACATTGATTTAATTATATTTATAAAATTTTTAATAAATATCTAATACTATACTATTAACTCTTAAGAAAAAAATACAAAATTTAGTTTTAACATTTAACTTTTTCATATAAAGAAAATAAAATACCAATTTATCTAGCAAGATTGTGTTTATGGTCGTCGTTGACAAAAAATTGACTCTCCTTGCAAAATTTAGCCATGGAATTTCTAACTGCTCCATGGCCAGATCCTGATTATAAATCCTCTGTGAGTACCCGTTGCACCCAAAGTGGAGGCTTCCTTCCTTTACCGTTAGATGAGATCCTTAGTCAGCTTTTCACCACGTGGCGAAGATCTAGAACCTTGGTGTATTCGTCTTGGCTGTACCAGAAACTACTGAATCCCTCAGATACATTTTCAGAACAGAAACGAAAAACAAATGCACGAGAAAAGGAGAGGGAGACTGATGGCCGGTTGGTAGCGAATTGTTGTGTTCTCCGCTTCCGTCTTCCTTCAGGTACGATCTTCTGACCGTTAGTCAATCCCCCTTCAACCAGCGACAAATTAACGGTCTGAAGCTATCTGCAAACCTCAGCAAATACTCCAACTGAATTAATACTGCACTTGTCTAACATTTGTTCGATCTTCTCTCGTCGTTTTGTTTCCTCCTGTTCGCTAGTGGTTGACTAAATTTCAGCCATCTGCTTCTATTTCTAGGGTTTTTGTGCTTTTTTTCCTCGACCAATACAAACAACCATTTTGATAATTGCGGAGATCTTTTGTCATAACAATTGAATTTTATTTTCTGCGGTATAAAACGAAATGGCGAGTGCTGGCGATGACGATCCCGATTCGTGCTCAGCGACGTCAGCTGACGAGCCGGTTCCCTCGTGATTAGGGA